TGTCTGACGCGTCTGCCTCCGCGACCCGAAAGGAGAAGCGGCGATGGAAGATGAAGATGAAGATGAATATTTTGTATATTAAAAACTCCGCCGTTGCTGGTCCCAAGCCCGGTTGAGAAAGGAGGAGGGCTGGAGATCGCGACAAAGTCTCCGTAGAAGTTTGCTACCTGCAGTCATGGTATTGACGCCATCGAAAATTATACCGGCTTGGTCGTCGCACGGGTTAGCAAGGGCCGCGCGCGCTGTTGAGGGACTGAGACAGACTACGAACAGTAGGCCATCAGAACCTGCTCCACGTCATCCGCCAATGAGGGTGTAGCAGCACATCAGCGGTTGAAGAAGACCGACCGAACGACGAGGAAGATACCAGTCACCAACGGAGTCGCTACCCGTTCTGAACGGAGGAGGCAGACAGCGCGATGCCATTACAGCACGTCAGAAAAGGTTCCACGAAAACGATACCACCAGTGGGAGCTCACAGTCGGAAATTTTGGCTATTAAAGATGGCATTTTGTCTGCAGTACGATTGGAGGCCGATAGTCGAAATGTGTAGGCATCCGGCTGATGGCACTTTTCACATCGCAACTCTTTGTCTTTCTTACTGATACGAGACGCCCATCACATTCATGACCAAAATCTAGTTGTTCGACATTTATTGTTCCAAAGATTTCTGTGTATAATATCGGTTAGAATATCAGTCTTCCTTGCACTTTTATGATTTGGGCCATTTCCGGCGCTCTTCTTTTCTTGAAGTTGAGGCTGGACATTTATCTCCATATCCGTTAAATCAGCGATGAGCGTTTTACTTTAAAATCAGAGTCGACAGCAGGCATGTGTCAAGCATAGTGTGTACTCTCCTGTTTTCTTCCCAAGAAAATAGTACTCGTCTTTTGAGCTCAGTAGGCAGAAAGGCGAGCAATCCCCATCAGGTCTCGAATCTAGACCCTTCCTTCTGAGTCCGATGCCCTTCCAAGTCATAACAACGGTCATTATCATATAAACTATCTCAAAGGAATTTATCGAGTACTTAGACACTTGATGAAAGAGATTTTGATTCTTTAATTGTAATTCATTCATAGAGCAGTTTCTCTTGATATATGGGAACAACCGCGCAGGAACAGCGGTTGTCTTTACTAATTCTCCGGAGTACTTCAGTGAAACGCTAATTCCCTTGAGCCAGGAATTCGCCCCACGTTTCTTCGATGCAACAGACTGAGAAACGGCTTTAAAGTCGTTGAGTTGCGAGCGGTGAGGACAGCTTGGCATTCTGCTGTTCTCAGGTCAGAATAGATCAGAGGTACTGCCATGTGGTGTTACGCGAAACCTTCAGTGGAGAGGTTGGGAAGGATGGAGGGGGAATTCGCGTTCATCGACCTAATAGAGCAATGGTGTCTTATTATTATAACAAGGTGCTCACAACGGTAACATGGCCGACACAAGCGGGTCAAATCTTACCTGAGCTCAGAAGTGTTTCGTTACTACGCAGCAGTAACATAACCAGCGTAACGATACTCACCTCCTCTGCCAGGAGTCCAACTTGGGTACGGCTAGCGTAAATTACATGGCCCCGTTCGCCGCCTGGCAACGCATGGTTGGTCAGTATTTGGACTCCCATTGTCTTGATTGGTTTGCGATCGTTTGGCGACCTGCCATCATCTAAAACATGGCGTTGTCTAAGCACGTTACTAAAATTTCAGCTGCAAAATACATTCATATCCCCAACTGGCTATGTGGCATTGTGACGTGCTGGTCGGTCTTTCATGAGGTAATACACAAGGTCTGATCTCCACGTTTTGACTTGGTTTTGTGACGATGAATATCACTGCTATGTCGTACGAAAGTTCTCCCGATCGGTGTCTGGGATGAATAGTGTAGCTTTGGACTTTGGAGAGCACGCGCCTCGGTTCATCCTCGTTTCTAAGGTTGTAGGCTCCAAACAGGATATCGATATCATCGAGTCTCGCATAATCAGTTGGTCTCCTATGAATGAACTTGCTTAGATCAGATTTTATAAAACTTTATGAAATTTTCTGTGATAATGGGTGACGACTTGTGACGAACGCTGAAACGGTCATCTAAGAAATAATGAAAATCAGGAATTGCAGGCTTCCTTGTGCAAACAAAAGAATCGGTTACAGAGGCGGACACTAACAACAAACAAGAACGGTAGGATTAAGGGGAAATATCCTTATTAATTTCTAACAAAGGTACGTCTACGTAGCCGTTTACCATGCTGGTTTTCATTTAACCGGAAGACTATGACTCCTTGAGTCCGCATGGCAATAGGAAACAGAGAGAAATTGAAGCTCTTCACGTTATTCTGACGGTCGTGATATGAGAGATCTGGATAAATAATGTTAGTCAGATTTGTGTATTAATGCGATTATTCCCCTTAAAGAGGACTATCGGTTTTCAGCCACGTTATGACGTTCAGACCAAACATGTTTATTCAATGGAGGCGTCCAGGAGTTAAGACCCATTCGTTTGACTCGCCCTTTTTCTTCCCCAGTATGAAAGATGAGCTCTATACTGTGAGTAGAAAACGAAATAATAAATTATGCTTACAATGCAGCCGCTATTGACTGTCCCTCTAAAATAAGGTTATATTCTGTTGACATAATGACTGATGGTTGAGTAATCATTAGTTTGAAACTAATAAGCTTCTGCACCAAAGACAAGTACAGTTCACAACCAACCTCACTAAGGCGCTAGCCAGTGTGACGACAGCGACCTTATTTTGCACTTCAACGTAAACTCCGACTACACTCTGATCATAAGCTTCGATGTACACCAAGCAGCCGATATCCCATCTTTGAGTAATCGTGCCATTGACCATGCGAAAAGTCTTCTTCGAACTATCGCCTGCACCCTCTAGTGGAACAGCGTTCTATAAAGATTTGTAAAAATCACAACCATCATACAATTGCCATATTCCACTACTGCCAACCACCATACCGTCGCATAGCAAGAAATGTATAAAGTTGAAAGCATCAGTTGCCAACCGCGGAAAACCATTTTTGCCCTCGCACCTTCGACGCAATGCAAGAGATGAAAAATGACGCTATATATAGCGCTTCATACGGCTCCTGGCTAGCGTTTCCCTCGAGCATGTTCTAAACGAATATTTGTGTTGGCCGTTGCCGCCGAAATGGTAACAATTGAACGATCGACCCATGTAGGTTTGATTACAAAGACTCTAGCATATTCTTTTTTTTCACGAATTCGCTTGACTCGTTGTTGTTTCGCTTCCAGCACACAGTACCATTGTTTCCCCATCGACAGTCCTTCAATTTTCTGCTAGGCGCAACCGCGACACATTATGGGCATTTCATCGTTCGTGGGTTCAGCTGCACTGCGCCATTGCATGTGCTATACGACAGGCAACGCCATCAGACGTACGGCTAGCAACGACGTTTCGCCCTCTTGAACGCGAACAGTCTAGACAGTCGACGGGGTGAATGGCAGCAACGCGCAACCGTATGCCGTTGTCCATAAGCCTCGCAGGTACCTCGTTCGAGTCTAACAACGAGTCTTAACCGCTTATTCCTTTGAGACACAGGTTCACTGTCGTGGTTTGAACGCAACCAGTGGAGAATCGGGCTAGAAACCGTTCATTTTGACCATGAGGGTCAGCAAGGGATTCTCAGGTACTCATAGCAGAATCGGAAAGGCGTCTTGAAGTCGAATTTGAAGTGAGTATGCTTAACGGGCGAACTCTTACTTGAATCATCTAATACACGTTCTACAGATTTGCTGTGGAGCGAGATATTCCGCGAAAAATGCACACCATATTTTTGCAGAGTAAATTATAGAAAATTTTATATAAAAAGTAACGTACAATTAAAAGAACCGTACCAAACAATTTCATAATCATAGCTTCAGTAACCGAACAACGCGCAACGGCAAGCTTCGAGCTTTGTGAAATCGATCTATTAGAAACGATTCAAAGCGTAGCTGGTCGCTGGCGTTTTTGAATTCGTTTTATAGTCCACTGCTTTTATTTGGCGTTTTTCACTCCCACCAAATAGCTATAAGTATTTATATAGCCAGCGTCATAAAATCTATTCGCCTAGTTACAGGCTTTCCCTACCTCGATCACCCGGAAAGGATTGCTGTACTGAAATATACCTTGGCAGAGGAAAACAGTAGAGACTGCATGACCTGCATTTCCCTCATGACTGCTTAGTTATCATTTATGAACGGTGTTGCACCCTCATTTGTACCGAATAATCAGGAACACACTCAGAGTGTAGAGAACGAAGTTGGTTCGAACAGTGTCATCTTGAGCCATTGTTGGTGCATGCTGTACGAACACCACTATGAGTAATTGCAATAACCATCTAGCATTTTTCATTTTCGTCTAATCTGCTCTAGCGAATTCCTTCAGCTCATCCTGCCATGAATGAGGGCGTATTCCTAAAACCTGTTAACACCATCTTGGAACCCTGTCTAATGCTCCTACTGAAACTTTTATTTCTTACTTTTTCCGTGAAATATCAAACCATTGTGTCCCCTGCCCAGTGTTCACTCTTCCTCAAGTCTTTACCAGTATCTTTCGATCTTGTGATACGTGTCCACAGTTCATCAACAGTTTCAGGTTTACAATCCGTCAGTGTCATTCTTTGCTTAGCACTGGGAGCACACTGAACGCAATCCTTTTTTTCGACATAGTGTCAGTTGCCCTGTTAAGGACATTTTCATTTTTCCAAAGTGATAAATCTCATTTTTGTTCTTTCGTTGGTTCTTCGCTATCAGTCCTTCATCACAATTATGAACTGTCCCTCATAGTTATGCTCTTTGGCATATTTTGCGTCTAAGGTTGGTTAAATTCAGCCGGTGGATGGTGACGTGTTTGTTGAAGGAGGCATGAACCAGTTTTAGCCTCATGTTAGACCCACTTCGAATCTTTAGCTGTACGGCAATTTTACTGCTCCTTCGTTCTATCTAGCAAATTTGTAGCGTAACTTTGTCTTAAGAGGAAACAATCTTTATTCTGATAAACATTATATTTCAACTAACCTGGTAATTAAAACGTGATACCCCCATTGTTATTGTGCATTTATCGTTACTGATGGCGGGCATCATGTGTGATGCAAGTGAACGTCGATAACGGTAACAGGGATATTGATATTCGTATATTTCTCTGCCCTATCGTAGGTTCAGTGACGAAGAAAGGTGCTGATCATCACAGAACGATTGCTCTGGCGCTGAGTCATAGCTGTGGCATAACGTGTCCATTCTCAATGCTCGTCAAGCAAAGCACAGAGAAATAGCTCTGGACTAGGTTATTACCCACATATATGAATGGTAGAATAACTCGTGGTAAGAGATCCGAAGTAAGTCGCAAACCAATCTAACTAAAAGATGCTATGAACGTTGGAAATCGCGCTAAAACGTCCACTGTGATTTTGCCACTGCTGAACATAGAGAAAAATACTCATCTGCATAGCCCAACAGTTGGCCATGAAATTAGCACACTTGCAAACGAAGAATGATGCAACTGACTAAAAAATAGGTCTCGAAGACATTTGATTTATCCGATTTCCGCTATTGCAGGTTTGGCCGTTGGTTAATCCATAGATTTTTGCCACCCAATTTAATGGTTAAGTTTATCGTAATCCTACTCTTTCTTTAGACATTATTGAATTCTAAGCTGCGAGCGCTGAATACAAAATAGTTGCTTCTAGATAAGCTAACATTTCGTTACTAAGCATCTGACGTTAATTGTGAATGGTTTTCAATCATTTTTCCGCAATAATTCATATTGAACCCTCCCTGCTTAGTTCGTCGTTAAGAGTAGAACTGATTTGTTAATAAAAATCAAAATATGCTGTGAGTGGAGTGATATGTTTAATAAAATTTGGCATTATTCCTAAGCCTCTGAACCAGGTTAGTTGAAGTGATGGTAATCAAGATGAACGTATACAGACGTTTTAATGACTTGATTTTTTATGCCTCTCTGAACGTGATTCTACGTCGGAATTTCTATTTCAGTCTGGTTTTGTAGATCATCCTCTACCCGTACTCCCTTATGTATCGTCTTATGATAAATTTTATCATCCATAGACTGAAGAACTCGACAAATTAACGGCAGTTACATGCTAATGAAACGACGTGGCACGCTTCTGTTTTTACTTACAGTTGTTTCTGTGGCCGCATTTCTTTTGACGGAAAACTCATGGGTCTTACATCTGTTTAGAACTTTCATACATTTTACTTCACGGTGTTTTTGGAAAGAAATAGGAGTTTATACGAAATTGGTTCCGTTTTCGTATTTATAATATTTTCCAAAGAAACTGCAACACAAACAGCGGTCATTGTTTGACAAAAAAGTCACGTAACACATTCCGAATTAATTTCCTGTACGTTTTAACGGTCTTCCCTGATTTATTGGTGGTCCCTACCCCGTGCACAGCCGCAGACCAGGATTCACCGACATTGTGCAGCAGATAGAATATTCAATCAGGAAATTCCGGGTATGGATACTGTAGTTATAACGGTAGGCTGTTTCAGTCACGACAGCAATATCGAAGGCAACTACCGTGGCGAAGGGCGCTTAGTTTAAAGTACGGTCAAACTATATGACGGATCTAACGTTGATTTTAGTAAGGTCAAAGTTGCTTGCAGGTCTAGGGGTGAGGCAACGCATTGTTTGACGTTTTATTAGCGTAAGAATCAGTGAAAGACGTAATGTTACTCCCTATCCCTTCTGCCAAAGTTCCATCTATGCATATTGTACAAATGATTCACAGCCCTACTTTCCTGATGGCAACGTCGCCATGACTTTGTGCAATGCCACTCTTCGCGGTTCTATTTGTCGGGCTGGCGGTCGTGGCGGTATCATGGGATCACAAGGATGTGATTTCAATGACCTCAAGCGATCCGGATGACGTAGAGAAAGAGAATGACGAAGCTTAGAGATGGAGGTATGGATTCTATGCGTATTATTGTGGTATAGGGCTTCCAGACTGTGACCAGATCATTCCAGATGTTGTCTGGTCTGAGTGGCTAGGTGAAGAAGCACTCATCGGAGACTGTAGAGTAATGGAATGTAATAAGGGGAATTTTGCATTCCGACCAGAGTGTAAAATGTGTAATTATGCTAGGTTTGATGACGACCTCAGAGGAGGCGGCCAGGAATGATAGTAAAGCACACAGGTAAACTTGGATATTGCAGCCATTGTGGAATAATGGACAATAACGATGTGGTGGCTTGCTAGGTAGTGTCTAAGGGAGGTATGTCCACGAGGAAAAATAGATGGACCGATAAAACTTTTGTACTGATATTGCTTCGCTTGGTTAACGCTGTTTATAACATGAATTGATTTACGTATATCGATAGGTTCTGGAGTCATAGTGAAGCCATAAACCTGTATTTACTGCTGTTAGCGACGAGATGTAGCGAGATCGACAAATCAAGTGAAGAATTTTGCCAGTGTTCACTACAGTACATCATGTTGAACATCTTGCCCGATAGCTTGGAAACGACGATACTGAGCAATTCTGAACACACAAAACAACACATGAAGCAAAGTAACATCGAAATATCAGTGCTAAAAGTTAGTTGGTACAGTTTGATGTGAAATTCTATTGTAAGAGAGTGTTTGGAATATCCCATTAAAGTGATCGACTGGCTGGGAAAGGGCTGTCAAGATGGTATTGACATTGCCAATCAATGAATGATAGTCGTCTTCCAATGCGTATACAGAATTTAGCAGCTTGTGGCGGGCAAAAGCAAGGAGAACCTCCAAGAAGTTGGCTAGATTTTGTTGTTTCTGATTTGGCATCAGAAAGGGTGAAAAATGGGCGGGCACACATTCGCTCCTCCTGGAATGATTTAACGCACCAGGCGTTTCTTCACGAGGAATACAAAGCCAAATAATTTAATAAAAACAAAAATTTCAAAAATAAATTCGCTTGTATTTCGAATAAGTTTTATTCGAGACAAAAAATTAAAAAAGTAATTTTCACGGAAAGATGTCATTTTAGGACCTTGTTCTTCTATCAGCTACTAAAGAAACTGTTCATTAATGATTGAAATAAAAGCTTTGTTTAACGCAAAGAACGCTTTTCTGAACCCTGACGTTCTGAATTCTCTATCCCAAGAGTA